AGTAAAGAGACAAAAAGGAGACAATAAAGAGACAATAAGGAGACAATAGAGAGATAAAAAGGAGACAGTAAAGAGACGAAAGGAGCCAAAAAGGAGACAAAAAGGAGACAATAAAGAGACAAAAAGGAGACAGTAAAGAGACAAAAAGGAGACAATAGAGAGATAAAAAGGAGACAAAAAGGAGACACTTGTGCATGAAAGGGGATGAAAGGAGACAGTTTTTTGTGTTTTGTTTGTGTCTCCTTTCTGATGTGTCTCCTTTCTGTGTTTGTACCTGTGTATATTCTGCTGCATGCAGAACTCTTGTCCGCTCTCCATCGTGTTTTTTAATATCTGTAAAAACAACTGTCCTCGCCGGCATGTTTAAGCCTACTGCAAGTGTCTCTGTAGCAAACAAAACCCTCACCAAGCCCCGCTGAAATAATATCTCTATCTGCAACACAAACCACAAACCACAAACCCTAAACCCTAAACCCTAGATGACTTCATATCAACTGCACGCATTAACCCTAAAGCCTATACACTTTTATACGAACACATATACAAAAGAAAACCTATAAAACAAACCCTAAACCCTACACAATGCAAACCCTAAACCCTAAACCCTCAACCCTCAACTAAGGAATCCGGCGTCGTTACACGAGTCGTTTACACCCTTAAAAAGGACATATCTATGCTGAACTCAAGTCCCCAAAACCCTAAACCCTAAACCCTAAACCCTAGACCCTAGACCCTACGCAATGCAAACCCTAAACCCTAAACCCTAAACCCTCAACTAAGGAGCCCGGCGTCGTTACACGAGTCGTTTACACCCTTAAAAAGGACATATCTATGCTGAACTCAACAAAACCCTCACCAAGCCCCGCTGAAATAATAAGAGATAGACGTTGTGTTTCCACAAACCACTAGGGGTTTGTTGCCTACCATCTCCTTGATGAGCGGGAGAAGACCTCCATGATGAATACCGATTCCTCTTTTAACTAAATTCAAAACAAAGTCTATTTGCCTCAACTCGCGATCCGCAGGGGTCAGCCGCTTCAGACACTCCTGATGAACAAACCCTAAACCCTAAACCCTAAACCCTAAACCCTAAACCCTAAAACTGGATACTCATAAGAAAGAGTGTGAAGTGTGTTGTTGCATTCTGTGTTGACAGTAGCAGCCTTGTGAGGGTGTCCCCAGCAGGATAAGGGTTTAGAGTTTAGGGTTTAGGGTTTAGGGTTTGCCTTTGTGAAGAGATGAATACGACTTCGATGGTTCTGAGACAACGTAACATCAACTTGAGTTAAAGACTTCGCAAAGGCTTCGCACTTCCGTCGGCTAAAACAAAATAAAACCGCTGGCAGCTCATCCGCCTGCAGCAACAGCAGCAGCAGCAGCAGCAGCAGCAATAGGTGCAGAAGCAGCAAGAGCAGTTGCAGCAGGTTCAGTAGCAGCACCAGCAACAACAACAGTAGCAGCACCAACAGCCATCATCATCATCAGCAGCAGCAGCAGCAGCAGCAGCAGCAGCATCGTCACCATCCGCAGCAGCAGCAGCAGCATCAGCAGGTACATCAGCACCATCATGATAAGCAGCAACAGCATCATCATCATCATCAGCAGCAGCAGCAGCAGCATGAGTATATGCTTACAGCTGAGTTGAATTGGTTATTAGCATCAATAAGAAGAAAGGGTTTATCTCTAGAAAAGAGATAATGTCTTAAAGGGACGGGTCTCTTCGTAGTACTTTGAGCAAAAATTTCTTTAGATTTCACAGACCCTAACCAGTCGCAAAACTCTACATAGTTGGGCAGCGTTGCTGACAATAACACTACGTTTACCTGCATGCAATTAAAATAAATAAATAGAATATAATAAAAGAAATAGAAAGATATATAATGATAATGATATATATATATATTATATAAATGTATTAAAGGATGTTAAAAGAAACAGAAGAAGAAAAGACATATTTGGTGCTGCGGATAATAACACCGCGTTCATTTGCATGCAATTAAAATAAAAAAAATATAATAAGTAAAAGAAATATAAATAAATAAGACAGGTATATATAAAGAAAGGAGACAGAGACATGTTCACATGCATGCAACAAAAAGAGACAAAAAGGAGACAGATTTCGATCCAGAAAGGCTATACAGCCTAGGGTTTAGGGTTTAGGGTTTAGTTAGGGTTTAGGGTTTAGGGTTTAGGGTTTAGGGTTTAGATATACATGAGGAGGCAGCAAGATAAGAGACTCCTCCCAGACCACTCCTCTCTCTGCATCGTTTGCATAATGCGCTTCATCAAAAACTACAGTATCCAGCTGTCCTATCATTTCGTCTCCCCTGCTCGCAAACCCTAAACCCTAAACCCTAAACCCTAAACCCTAAACCCTAAACCCTAAACCCTACTCCCTAAATAGGGGAGCTGCAGAAGCCTGGCTCGCTGCCGTTGAAGAGGCGCCCTAATTAGGCATAGCGGATGAGAAACCCTCAGAAGACCCTAAACCCTAAACCCTAAACCCTAAACCCTAAACCCTTGGGGGGCCCTACCTGAAAAGGAGACTCCTGAGGATTTCTGTGGTGACGATGAGACAGGCGGCGCCGGGATTGATGCAAATATCCCCCGTTATCAGCCCTACCTAAACACCCGCCCCAAACCCTAAACCCTAAACCCTAAACCCTAAACCCTAAACCCTCAACAGACTATCATCACCCTTCTGCATCACAACTCCAACAGGCGAAGACGAAAGACTCCAAACAATATCTCCATTAAATACAGACCTAGGGTTAAGGTTTGGGGTTTAGGGTTTAGGGTTTAGGGTTTAGGGTTTAGGGTTTACGGATAGAAATTTTTGCTTGAATTCTCTATACTTCTGATTTGAGAGGGCCTTCAAAGGAGAGGTGAATATACACCGCCGCCTCCTCTGCAACGCGAGAGCGATAGCATACTCCGCTACCACCGTCTTTCCTGAATCCACAAACCCTAAACCCTAAACCCTAAACCCTAAACCCTAAACCCTAAATGATGAGGGGTGAGGGAATGAACTCTAGAAAGGGTTATTCGTGCTGTTTCTCCCGCAAACCCTAACTAATAATAACCCCTAAACCCTAATAAACCCTAATAAACCCTAACAAACCCTAACAAACCCTAACAAACCCTAACAAACCCTAATAAACCCTAAACCCTAAACCCTAAACCCTTGCCTGCGCTTGTATGTGCAGCGACGAATACACACTGGTTTTTTTCTAAACGTAAGATTGCTCTCTTCTGAAAATCATCGAGAGGGAACCCAAACTCAATAGCAAGAGGCTCCTCCTCAGGAGACAGATCCTCTTCTGCTGCTGCTGCTGCTGCTGCTGCTTCTGCTGCTGCTGCTGGTGCTGCTGCTGCTGCTGCATCTGCTGAGGGTGGAGAGGCAGATGGGGGTGCAGGCGCTGCTGCTGCTGCTGCTGCTGCTGCTGCTGCTGTGCTGGCATCTGGGGGAGGGGCTACTTGGGCCCTGAGTAGGGACTCTAACGCAGCTGTGCTGCTACCTCCTTCTTGCTGCTGCTGCTGTCTTGCAGCAGCAGCAGCAGCAGCAGCAGCAGCACGCTCTCTTCGGATCTCCCTGAGAGCTTTTCTGAAGCAAGAGACATCTGCTTTGTCCTCTACACACCACTTCTTTCTTATATGTCTCTGCTTTGTTTTTGTAGGCCCTGCTGCTGCTGCTGTACTGCTGCTGCTGCTGCTGCTGCTGCCCTGCTGCTGCTGCTGCTGCTGCAAGACTGGGGGCCCGCACTCTATTACAGGAGGGGGTGCAGCATAAGGGTTTATGTCTGTAGGGGTCTCATCCATCAATTCAAAGTTAATTGAAAACTTAGGAGGAGAAGCAGTCCCTACATCATCACACAACAAGTCAAACGGCAGCAGCACAGGCTGCTGCTGCTGCTGCTGCTGCTGTTGCTGCTGCTGCTGCTGCTGCTGTTGTTGTGGCTGCTGCTGAGGAATGAAATTGAGACCCTCAGTGAGATCCCATGATTCCGATACCTCCTGCACATCCCCCTGCTGCTCCTGCTGCTGCTCCTGCTGCTGCTCCTGCTGCTGCTCCTGCTGCTGCTGCTGTTGCTGCTGTTGTTGCTGCTGCTGCTGCTGCGGTTTTTCTGTTTGACTGTTGAGTTGGCGGAGCTCTTCCAGGGTCTCCT